CTGCCCTTCCATTTCCCGCGTTACCTGTATGTCCTAGCATCAACATCAGTGTTACTCGCCAACGCTATGAGTTACGCCCGACTGAAGTGTTTATGGAGATCGCTCATTATTTACTCTTGTACAGTGCAAAATTGCATACATTTCTGCCTGAAGTACAGCGGTGTGTCTTTCAAGCGGGTTTTTTTTTTTTTTTTTTGGTGAGGGGGGAATGCGTTTTCGCACCATACCTTAGCCCGAGCTACGGCGTGTAGGTTGTCTTGAGGAGACCACCTAATACCCACTAAACCCTAAACCTCCGCGTGGCCCGACTCATCAGCGTCAGGGTAGGCCATGTGTTGTGCGTGACCTGCGGTCTGCTACAACGTCTCCTCATGTGTTTCAGTCTCTGGGAACGCCGTGTTGGTTCCCTTTACCTCGCACATTCTATCGATGTCGTTAAGCGATCATCGATAGAGGGTCTGCTAGGTTCTCTTGAAACTCTTGTTTTCGAAAAATCAAGAGTTTCAAGTCCTCTTACCAATATGTTGTTCCTGGTCCTGGTCCTGGTGGGTCCTGGTCCTGGTGGGTCCTGGTCGTGGCGGGTCCTGGTCCTGGTGGGTCCTGGTCCCGGTGGGTCCTGGTCCCGGTGGGTCCTGGTCCCGGTGGTTCCTGGTCCCGGTGGTTCCTGGTCCTCTGCATCCACGCCGTGGGGGGGGGGGAGCAACCGCGGGTTCTCCTAGTCTAGTAGTCAAGGTTCCAGTTAGGGGGTGCCAACTGGGACCTTGGTCTAGGGTACCTGGTTCTGCGGTTGCAAGGCCTCTCGTCCGGATCGTAGTCCATGAGGAATCGTAGCTGCTCGTTCGGGTGGTCCTGAGCTTTCTCGAAGGTCTTCTCCGCTTTTTTCCTCATGTACTCGTGAATGGTGTCCCAATGCAGGTCTCTACGCAAGGTTGAGTTTCTTACGTAGGATGGTGCACTGGTGGCGATCCGGAGTAGCTTCATCTCTAGAGCAGCAAGTCGCTTGCGGTAGCTGGGGGCAGCGTACCCCCAGACCGCGGAGGCGTAAGCGAGCTGAGGTCTGGCGATGGCCTTGATCAGCCGTAGCTTGGTCGCTACAGCGGTGTGCCTTTCAAGCGGGGTATACCATGCATATTCCTATATATACCTGCACCTGTTCCCCCACTTTTTGACCCGTCAGTGTAGCAGGTATTTTAGCCTCGAAGTTCTGTTTGAGTACACATCTGAGAACCATGTGGTCTTTCCTCGAATCGAGTATGTCTCTTCGCACATGTTTCCTTGTTTGGTTATGTCCAAGGTTCTCATATCTTCCCTTTGGCTGTGAGTGTAGCCCATTCCTGCGTCCCCCATTATTACATATTGTATCGATGGAAGGTCCAGCATGGCTGCAAGTGCTGCATTTAGGGAGCTATTCATTGCACCTGTTATAGACAGGCAATCAAGTCTTTGTACCTTGCTTAATTCTACAATGGCAGAGCCTTGTCTCATCTTTGGTCATTTCTTACAACCATTTTGTACGTCCAGTGCATCACGGAAGGGCGCTTTCCTTTTAATGCGTTCGACCTGCGGGTTCTAGGTTAGTTTGGAGTCTAGTATTACCCTCAGATACTTGACTTCCCCCGACAGATGCATCAGTCCTCCCAGAAGGTATAGAGGTCCTACTCCCTCTAATTTCTTACTTCTGGTGAAAGCAACAATTGATGCGTTAGGAGGGACTTACGTTCTTTATTCAGCATATGGAGCACACCCAGGCCCTGGCCCCTCTCGCTGATCGCAGTCGCATATAATATATGCAAATTACGGGATCGCTCTATTTTCTACAATTTTCTATCCGTTTAAAGTAATAAAGGAATAAAGTAGCAAGCCGCGATACTTTGAAGTGGTAAGAACCACTTTGACGTGACAGTTATATTTTTTTTCTACCAACTCCGCACGATTTCGTACGAAATTTAGTACAAAGATTTCTTTACGTGTCAGACAGGATTTTAATTGGTGAACAAATAGGGAATTAAATTCAGTAACGAATTTTTTCACGAAATTTGCTACCAAATTATGAACAAAATTTTGTATCGTGACAGATGGCCTTTACACTATAGAAGACAACAACTTTTAATATTATTGTACTTAAGGCTTCCAAAGTCCTTGGCTACTAATTTTTCTAAAGTGGAAGGGGTTATTGTTCGTCATTCATCTTGTAATATTCTCCATAAATGTTCTTGAGATGTAGGACAACATTTCCTTACTTGTATGTCCAGTTCATCCCACGGCAACACTATCGGATTCAGATCCGGGGATTGGGCAGGTGATTCCTTAACTTTCAAAATATTTTGTTCTTATATTGCTTCCAAAAATTGTTTACAGAGCTTGGATGTGTTTGGGTTCATTTTCATGCTGAAAAACAAACCCCGGACCAATAATACGACTCCCAGAAGCCACAACATGATTTTATAGTATGGCTTTGTAACGTTTGTTATTCAGTATTTCCTGTACTCTCACAATATCTCCCAGAGCAGAACCACTAAAACAGCCCCAAATCATTGGCTAAAGGGACGGTACATGATCCTAATGCCCTCTCGTGCGGCTGACGACGGAGAAATACTCTTCTCCTGGAACCAAAATCTTTCCTGTCAGCAACTGTCCAATTTTGATGTTGTTTGGCCCAATGCAGTTTCTTCTTTTTTTGTTAGTAGCCCTGAGGAGTGGTTTTCATACTGCTATCATCGCGTAAGTCCAGCTTCGAGTAACCTTCTCTTAACTGACAGGTTTACTACGGACCACATTCGAGTCCGCTACTATTCCGGGTGCAGTCATGCATTTATTGCGTTTACTTTCCACTATTATGCTTAAGCCTTCAGTGGAATTTGTAACTCTGGATCTCCCGGAACGATGGCTATTGGATGTTGTGCCTGCATCCTTAAATTTCTTAATGATGTTTTGTACAAATGACAGCGGTACCTTCTGAAGTTTAGAAATTCCTCGAATACTTTTATCGGACTTATGAAGACTAATAATAACACTTTTTGTCTCCTCGGAATATTCTTTAGTTTTATAGTTTTGTCCAGAAAAAATAAACGAAAACGCACTTGTTGAGCAATCTTGAACTATAAGGTATTGAAGCACGATTAGTTTATCAAATGCGACAAGATAACTGACGTAAAAACTGTTTTATGGGTTTACATACAACACAAATTAAAAGAGGTAATCCTATACAAAAACATAATATTCTAAAGGCAAAGAAATTCCTATTATGATTTATTGTGTTTAAACTATTAAATGGCGAGGTGTTGTGTCCGGAGCTCCTTAACAAAATCTCATTCAATGTTCCATCACTTAATTTTAGAGTGAACCGGTTATTAAAGATACCTCAATACTATGCACTCGCCTGTTGAGAGGACGGACACTGAATCTTATAAATACTAAGGATATTGAAATATTAAGCATTCCTTTGTCTAAATTTGAAACCATTATTAGAGAATTAGCCTGTTTTTTTTTTATTTCTTAGCTTGTCTTATTTACATTTTTCATTGGTTAGTATTATTATATGTGAATTTTATATATATATATATATATACGTATATATATATATATATATATATATATATATATATATATATATAACTTGAGACGTGGTCATTGTCGTCTAAACCAGTTAGGTGAAAAATTACGTATAGGATGAGGGAAACGTCCAGTAACATGGTGAGAGCTGGATAGATGGTATATATACATATATATATATATATATATATATATATATATATAACTTGAGACGTGGTCATTGTCGTCTAGACCAGTTAGGTGAAAAATTAAAGCTTACGCCTTTTGTTGGGTACTTCGACAAGATTTAAGCAAAGAGGACTCTTTATACTTTTTTAATTCTCTCTAGCTTTCAATGGACTTTGCCATCATCATCAGGAGAGTAGTATGTGAGGATGTTGCTAATTGTTGTTTACGTATAGGATGAGGGAAACGTCCAGTAACATGGTGAGAGCTGAATAGGTTGCACAATAGTCAAAATTTATACAAAACATGACAAGAACAAGTTAAAAACAGATTAAATAATTTGTGCAATCATCAGGTGGTTTCACGATGTAATGTTTAAAATTTTTTTAAATAATTTTTAATCTGTTTTTAACTTGTTCTTGTCATGTTTTGTATAAATTTTGACTATTGTGCAACCTATTCAGCTCTCACCATGTTACTGGACGTTTCCCTCATCCTATACGTAAACAACAATTAGCAACATCCTCACATACTACTCTCCTGATGATGATGGCAAAGTCCATTGAAAGCTAGAGAGAATTAAAAAGTATAAAGAGTCCTCTTTGCTTAAATCTTGTCGAAGTACCCAACAAAAGGCGTAAGCTTTAATTTTTCACCTATATATATATATATATATATATATATATATATTGTGACGATAACAAATAGTACTGTTGGCGCCATCTGTTGGGAGAGTCTCCTACTCGCCAGAACTTCATGGCCGATCTCTGGCTTTACGCGGACCACGACCGCACAAGCCGCTTAGCGGTGTTTGTGAGGACCGTGGCAGTGACTTGCCTTCTAGATCTACGCGAAGTGACCTCGAATATTCTGGAAGGCCGCTATGTGGCTCCCGATTCTTCTCGACTCAACGATGCGGACTATATAACTCGGCGGCCGGTAGATGGAAGCAGAGTACAGAGTATACCAGAGTAGAGCAGGGTGGAGTATAGTCCAGTCAGTGGCGCGACATAAGAAGTAGTCAGACGTAAATAGTGGTGTACATAAATGTTCTATCTAGTCAAGATAAATAAATCAGTGCATTTCTTTTTGTGTAATCCAGTGTTTTAATCGACACCCAAAAGAACCCAGAAAAACGCTACAATATTATATTTTTACTAATGAAAACATAAAAATGTTCGAGGTGTGTATGAGGGATATGTTGCAAATAAGTTTATATTATCGGAAAATTATCTCAGTTTGCTTGTCCCTATTTCTCATTTATTTAATTTATCTATTTTCAGATGAACTGAAACACATAATAGGATCTGAAACGACAAGACGAGGCCTGCTGACGGTGTTTGACCTATTCCAAAGACCAGTCTTGAATCGCAGGTTGCTGTATGTACTGCTGGAAGGTGTTGTCAGTAATTTGTTTCCTGACAAAGATATGAACAAGCTGTTCATAAAGATGTACCTCAGCCAAAGGAAAAATAGTCAAATGACTAGGTGATAAAAATCCTTGTTTTAATGTTATTTCATATACTATACTTGGTAGGTAGACATCCATGTGGAATTTTCAACCAGTATATTCTCGGATGCTTTACAGAACATACAACGTACCAAGGTATATTTTAATTTCAGTTTGAAAGACTTCAGGAATTTCAAATATATCTTCATTTTATAAAATTATTCTTCTACTGATCTTTTTTATATAAATTTCTTGTAATTAAATGGGTTTGGAGTCTAAAGAAGCACAGTTATAAAGTTTAATTATTTAATTTTAACTAATTTAATTAATAGATGCTTATTTTGGTTAAGACATTGTATAAAATGAGCTATTTAAACTAATCCCCCAACTTCATTCGCACAAATAAATTAAAAATAAAGCATTCGCACAAAAAAATTAAAAATAAAACAAGAACAAAATGATTTGATATATATTTAAAAAACTAATAAACAGTCCTTTCCGTCTTCGATTATCATAAGGGCATCTATTTTTTTCACAGAAAAAAATTAGATGCCCGAATGGTATTTGACAAGACTAATTCATGAGTAACAGATTATTCTGCATGCTTATAGCTTACAAAAAATACTACCTATTATCCATGCATACATAATAAATTTGAAAATGAAAAATCGGTAATTTAACTCTTTCAGGGGCAAGTGAGCTCGGTTAAAAATAACCCTAGAGGGGCACACTTTTTCAGCTCGTACAGGTTACTACATGAACGACAATAATATCAAAGCTTGTGAAAACGTTTTTCCTTGTACTTTTCTTGTATAATTTTCAAAAATTCAAGTGGTACGAATAATGGACAGTGTATATAGTGTATATCTATGTAAATTATTGTTTATTATGAAAATGTTGGAAACATGATTTAGTTTTTCCTAAACATAGATACACCTTGCAAACAGTACACATCCAATCGGTCCGAATCTGTTTTTTTGAATTGCTGCAGTAGGCGCAACGCCGTCTGGTGGATCTTTGTGGTTGATGAGCACTCTCGGTTGTACGTATTTCAACAGGCACGTATGGTTTTGACTTCTTAATTGCAATTGGTTCTGAGCTAATTGATGTCCTTTTCAGTTGAACAGTACGATTGTCCAAAAGATAATTACTACTTGTCTTCTGAAATCCTTCATCGATAGTTCTGGCAAATTCAATTCTTTATACAAAACAAAGGAATTTACAACCGTCATATCCAATAAGTAGAAAAATATACGATGCCACCACTTTTTTGATTTGCGGTCGATTTTGTAGACATTAAGGTTTTGATCGAACTTGTCAACAAAATTCATGTTCTTGTTATAATCCATTAGAGCAGCTGGACAGGAAACCTTTCAAATGGATCCATTCTTATCTCTCCTATCAACCTCGGCAACAGCCGTGGGGCTGTGAAAATTAGATAATAGATGAACACTTCGTTTGTCTCGCCATTTTATGGCTACAATGTTTGTGTTAGAAGTGAAGGTTTGAGATTCGCCACGTTTGAAGGACTTATCTGGCTTGAATATAGGAAGAAACTTCCTTTTCACGTTGACTGTTCCACATGCGTGGATATCCTTCGCTTTCAGATATTCTAACAGTGGTACACTGTTGAAGAAATTGTCAAAATACACTATATGGTGTTTTGCCTCCATACCATCTAGTAGATTTTTCACCACTCTAGAAGCCTTTTTCTTCATCATCAGATTTTCCTGTATATATTTGGAATTTTTGACAATAACCATTTTTGTTAGCCAGTATCCAAACCTTGTACCCCCTTTTAATTGGCTTTTTGGGAAGATATTGTTTCAATGAATGCCTTCCCTTAAATTTAATCATAGACTTTATGCTCACTTCTTTGGTATGAGCCATGCACTTTTCACAATTTTTCGACAGGCTATCCAGAAGTGGTCTCAGCTTAGTATAGTTTATCGTAGCCTTGCGCTCCCTTTTTAGGCATCAGAAAATTATCATTCAAATGAAGGTTTAAAAGAAACCAACTAAAAAGTTTAACTGACATCATTGAGCTTATATATACATCGTTCAGATCTGGGCAGCTACTACAATAATCTCTATAGCTGGGACTTCTTTTTATCCCCATCAATAAATTTATACCCAAGAAAACTTTCAGATCCGATATATCTATGTTTCTAGGCTTATTAGATGTTTGATGGCAATATAAATTAGTTTGAAAAACTACGTCTTCTAATACAGCGTCGGTGAAAAAATGCTGAAATAGTTTTCCCGGAGTAGGAGAATCCAAATTCTTCACTACATTAGTTATTCCTGTGTCAGCAATGAAGTCTTCTGGTTTTTTTGGTACTCTGTCTTTGGTCCAATCACGAGTGTCTTTATTTTGTGCCATCTTCATTTGTAAAACTGAGAGAGGACAGTCGCAATCTGAATCTGATTCGCTGTCAGACTGCAAAATATTGGCAATATGGAATAATGCTCATTATCCAATTGCAGATAAGGCTTAATTGAGTTGGCTGAACTGTGGTCAGTAATTTTAATTAATTTTTGTTCACCCACCCCTGCTTTAGCCAGGTTACTGACTGCTGTCGACCGCATAGAGTGGTTTGTTATTTTTATTTCTTTTGTATTTAATCCTGCCTTCTCTGCTGCTTCTTTAGTCCATTTCGAAAGTTCGTTTTTTCCCACTGGAGTGTTTTTGTACCATCCACTTGATTGCTCTTTGATATTGTAATTTTTGGTGACAATGGCTGTCAATTTTTGCCGCGGGTAAACTCGAAAAAATTGCTGACAGGTGCTGTCATACAATTTTTCCATCTAGAAAAAATTTGTAATTCAAAATTGCGCATTTGTGATTGGTAGATATTAAAACGAGGGAAATAGAAAAAACAAACTAAAGCGAACTCACCAATTTACTTTGCATCATTTAGACTACTACGCGGTACAGCTAGACACAGTTTGATGGAAAGTAGAAAGGTATTTGTTAATAGTAATAATCTGAGCTATTTTTGTTATATTTTTCAACAAAAATACAAAACATCAAATATAACGAAAAATAGCTCAGATTTTTACTATTTAGAAGTACATTTCTCCTATCCATCAATTTGTGTCTAGGTGTACCTCATAACAACCTTTTACTGATAAGTTGCAGTCTAAATGATATCAAAGATGTGCATAACGTTGGATTTTTTTTTGACCACCACAGTAAGGGGGTGTTAGCTATGTTTTTTTTCTGATAATCGAATAATTTTTGTGTGTGCTATCTTGTTAATGAAATTTGGGGATTAGTTTAAGTAGCCCATTTTATAGTGACTTAACCAAAATAAGTTTCTCTTACGTCGATTTTATTACTTAAATAATTTAAATTATTGTATATGTAAAGTTAGTGTTTTAATTTTTTTGTAATGCGCTGAAGAAGGAACTAAAATTTTCCGAAACGCCAGCAACTTTATAACAGGAAACTATGTTTCTTTAGAACCCAAACCCAACTAATTATCAGAAATCTTCATTTTATAGTTATTTATATTCTGGATTCTGCTTTATCACTTTACAATATCACTTCATTACCTATGTTCCCGCTTAAAATTTTGTTTTCTATCTGGTTACCTGTTTCAACTTAATAGTTATTACCTTCTGTAGTGAAACATTTCATACTCTCACAAATATTTTAAAAACTTTCGTATTTCAACTGTGATTTATTTCCCGAAATATGTAAATGAAGGCCAACTGTATCCTCAGAGTGGCACTGCTCCCTATGTCACCCGTGTGGGCGCTCGTGGATTTGCTCTTTCTTCATATTCATATATTGGCGATCTCCAGATTGACAGTATGAGAAAAACTAGTCACATTCTCGAATTTGCATTTTTTACGTTTATTTAAAACGCTCACTTATTTCACCTTATCGAAATATAATGGCGACAAATGTATTTGCCTAACATTTTTATTTCTTTTAGACATGTATAAATTATGTAAGGGAATATTTTGTTGAGATTAAAATACTTACATTATCCATTTTATATTTTTTATATAATTACAAGATGTCATAATTTAAAAATAAATTATAATGTTTCATTGCCTTAAAAAGTTTCCTATTTTTAAGTTTGTTTCTACCATAAGTGAATTTAATTATTAATAATGAATTTCGTCCACGTGATCGCTCATACAGGGTAATTCAACAAACAATGGCAATATTTCTGCGACTGAAAGTAGATCCAAAAATAACATGAAAAGTTCATATGAATATGGGTTCTTAAATGCCCCCTTACCGAGATTCAGATTGTTGTAGCTCTTAACTTCAAAATATATCTTTAGAATGGATAAGTCTATAGTATTGTAAGTGTTTTATATGCAGTACTAACAGCACAAATAATACAATCATGAAAATTTTGTGGCTATTGTTGTTGTTAGTTGTTGTGTAAAGTATTCTACTTTACATAAATAGCCTCTCCTAGGAAATTTTTGAAACATCATTGTCTTTGGAGAAAAATTTACGATTGAAGGTATAAAAAACTTACAATAGTTGTACTTTGAAAATATCCTTTCATTTGGCATTGAAAATTGTATGTATGTATTGTGAGAGTAATCCCACCACACCACAGCGTTATTTTAAGAATATTCATATTATGTCCTCAATGAGTCTCATCAGCAGCGTATAAATCTATATAATAGGAACGTTACTATTATTTTTGGGTATACTTTCTGCTCTAGAAATAGTCATTGCGTTTTGAATCACTTTGTATTATTACTGTTACTTGTTGATACTCGTTTTATGGGGTGTTCAGAAGCAAGTTTTTAAGTCTACAGGATTTTTGTATATTCCCATTCTAAGCTGTATTTGTCTATTGACATTGATATTTGTTTGTTGTGATTCATTGTGAAATATTGAAAAAATACACTGAAATAATGTTTAATTTGTCATTTGGAGAAAATACATATTAGTCATTAGTCAACATATTTGTCGATAACTTTATTAAAACAGATGCATTTATCGTAAGTCCTGTTGTTACATCACATATTTCATTGTCATGTATATTATATATGCAAAATATTTTGTTGGAGTTCTTATAAAAATACATTATTTTTATTTTATATTTTAGTGTTTAAATTAAGATGATTCAGTAATATAACATATACAGTGCTTTTACTTCCCACAACTACTGGCAGGGAAGTACTGTAATCGCGAAAAGAGATATGTTTTTTGGATGTTATATGACATGTACATCACGAAAAACCGTGTTTATCATTTCAGCCAGTCTGTCTGTCTGTCGGTCTATCCGCTAATACTATAACCGACTATAACTTAAGAAGTATCGCTCGGATTTCGAAGAAACTTTTACGCAATGTTATTACTGTGATAAGGATGCAGAAACTTTGAGTTTTTGAATATCGGTCCTGAGGCGGCAGAAAAAAAGGTCTAAAACGAAAAACTAACAATCGCTCAAGTCTCGTTTTATGAAGCTTCAGAGGATCCTGATCATTCTTGAAAAAAAAATTGATGTAAAAAAACTTGGGGGTGGGGATTGTAGGGGGTGTTGAGGGTATGGTTGTAAGGGGGGTGGGTAGGGATTATTTCAATTTTTTGTTGTTAGTACATTTATAGTAGTAGTAAAACTTACTATCGGCAGCGGATCGGGGACTACCGGCCGCGGCTGCTACTTCCGGCGCCGTGCCGCCGGGATTGGTGAGTGTTCTGTTGTCCTGTTATTGTACAGTATTTTCTATGCTCTAATAGCGTCGCCACGTCTGACCGATTTAAGTATCGGGAAGAGGTGACGTTTCCAGATGCACTACCGTTAGGGCAGGGAAAAATGACTACTGTGGACTAATTGCATATACCTGTTTTTTTTACTTTTTTTTCTCAAGGGGTCTAGTTTGTGGTGAACATAATCATCATCAAATGATAGCGGCATTGTGTGGAAGTGCAAAGTCCATCTAGTTGACGCCATTTTGTAAAGGTCCTGCTCCACATATTTTTTGAATGAGTCAAGCTAGCAAACTTAAATTGGAGTGATAGAATTGATACACATGAAATTTCCAAAATGATGTCTGAGCCAGCCATCTTAAAACATTGTGATGCTCCTTATCGATACTATAAAATATAAGTTTACTATCATTTCAAATGTCGCTCTGATGGGTTTTCAGAGTTGAGCGTTTTGGTACATTGAATAGCTTGTAACTGAAAACTTACCATCAAAACGCGATAGTATCTCTTATATCAATTTTTTTGGATGGGTCTATTTGAACATGAAACATTTCGGTACAAAAATGACAGATTTTTCCAATGAAAAAACACTAAATTTTGACATCCTGGCAGTCCGCCGTTAAGAAGTTTAGTAATGAGATGGCTGCCCAATCTATTTAAAAAATGTTCCAAGGTGGCGTCTAGCCGCCGTCCCGAAATTTTTAGCTGTCACTTTTACGCTAAAACAGTACGCATACATCATTTTATTACACATTCCAGCTTGCATACTGTATGTATGTATTTGCATGTATCGGAAGTATGTGGTTAGAAGAGATGGACCAGAACCGGCGGTATATCGCGACTACTGCGTTTTTCTACGAGTGCATAATACGTATATGGAGGGCCGCATACTAGGTACTCATCGTCAGGTAGGAGCGCCGACGATACGCCCAGTAGAAGATATAATAGAAGAAGCCGAGAGAGATTCCGTTATAAGCACCAGAGCCATTGCCCGAAGCAGAAACATATCCTATACTTCAGTGCACCTAATACTACGCCCGGAGAATATGCATCTTTACCATGTACAAAAAGTACAAGTATTGCTTCCAAGCGACTATACACAACGGGTTGAATTTTGTGAGAATATGTTGAGAAGGTGCGAAGAGGATGAAACTTTTTTCGAAAGCATTGTATGGATAGATGAATCCAATTTTAACCAAAATGGAATATCCAACATGCACAATTTTCATTCATGGAGCGTGGAAAATCCACACGCTATTCTCCGACACAGCTTTCAACGAAAGTTCGGCGTTAATTTATGGGCTGGAGTACTCAACAAGAAATTAATTGGGCCATATGAATTGCCTGCCAGGTTGAATGGTGCCCCATGCCACTTTGCACGGGATGTACGGCATTACTTAGAGACTTAGATAGTGCCTTTCCTAGGCGTTGGATAGGTAGAGGTGGATACATACGATGGCCTTCACGGTCACCCGATTTGAATCCTCTAGATTTTTTTATATGGGGGTTTTATGAGGGGATAATCTATACATCTGAATATACAAATATCAACCAACTGCGCCAGAAAATTGATGAAGCAAACATAAAAATTATGGAAAATGAAAATTCATTTCAAAGACAAAAGGACAATTTTATTAGAAGGTGTCGCTTTATATAGAAAATAATGTAGGCCATTCCGAACATGTTCTTTAAGGGTTAGTTAAATTAATTATCTTCCAAATTTGTCGGTAAATTGCCATAAGGAGCGGCTAAACACAATAGGTTCTGTACTTGTAGAATTCTACTGCGTTTCTTACGTTTATCGCATCACAACGAATGTGACATGATAAACCCATCGTAGCAAGCTTAAATTTTCTGGGTTTGTTCTACATGGATTGAAATAGTTTTTTACAAAAACATGAATAATGAAATACAACCTCAATTTTTTTTACCACCCTCCGAAGTTGAGGGATGAAGAGATTTTTCACAAAAAAAATGAATTTAAGATTTTTGCGTTGATTTCTAATAAGCTCTGTTAAAAAGTTACATAACCATTGCTAAAACTAACCATTTAGCTCATCTCAGAAAAAAAAATCGCAGCCCTAATGGTTTAGTTTGCAATTGCGACTGAAAGTTTATTATCCCGTTTTTTTCGAAATTTTACAAAATTGGAAATATCTCCTAAATTGTAAAAGTTCGAACCACACATATAGGGGTTCATTCGATAGGTTTTAAGGCCCTATATTACCTGACTTCCGGTGATCCACTA